TCTGATTATGATGCATAAATTGCAAAATAATTTTGTTTTGTAGATTTACTAAATAAACGTTACAAGCTACCTGCCCTGAGTAATTACTGACGGCAGGTGCCTGATTATATATATATATATATATATATATATATATATATATATATATATATATATATATATATATATATATATATATATATATATATATATATATATATATATATATATATATATATATATATATATATATATATATTGTTAAGATTCGAGAGTGAGACTAGAGTGCAGGCCTGGACGATGATATATGGCGGCTGTGCACTGCCTTGACTATATACAAACCCCACTTTTAACTTCCAGCTATAATAACACACATACACACTCACGCATATATATATATATATATATATATATATATATATATATATATATATATATATATATATATATAATTTTCATATGTGCATGTTTGATTGAAAAAAACTATGGAAAGTTCACTGATTATAATTAGTTTTTATTTGCTTTTACAATATTTCTATTAAGTTCTTTGATTTCCGGTTGGTATTTGTCAGTAATGATTCTCATGACTAATTAATTTTGGCTAATATTTTAAAGACGTTTGTCAAGAAGTTAATTTAATATTTATTTGAATACCGCGTTGGCATATTGACTCTAAGGTTTAATGTAACTGAGTCAATCTTTCTCTTTTATGCTAAATACCACCGTCAGCTACAATTGCATTTGATTTCGTGTTGTAATATTCCTATGTTTGTAATGAACCTAGTGTTTGGTAAATGACATGTTAATCAAATGTGTACACACACGCACACATACACAAACACACATATATATATATATATATATATATATATATATATATTTTACGATTCCAATGGAATAAATTATGACCATGGAATATGATTGTTTAAGCCTTTTTATTATTTTTTTATATATATATATATATATATATATATATATATATATATATATATATATATATATTTCTGTAGTTCACTGCTACTGACAAGCAGAATTTTTTTTTTCCTGATGATGCCCATGTTCAACGAAACTAGTCGAGGATGCAGCATTGTAAAGTACAGGCTAACGAGAAAGCAGTTGAGCAACATGCTCCATAAGTTTTCTATGGGGTTGAGGTCAGCAGATTGGGGCGGCCATGTCATAACACTCACCTGCTTCTCATCAAAGTATTACTTCATCAATTTTGATTTGAGACAGGTAGCATTATCCTGCCTAAAAATGAGTTTGGTGAGGTCGATTTGCACTCTTTCAGCAGAAGGGAGCAGGCAAGACTCTAAAATTCTCTGGTACTGCTCGCTCCTGAGGGTCTTTCCAATAGGTTTTAAGAAACCACTTCCATGAAAAGAAAAGCATCCCCAGAATATTATACTGAACGGATGCTTGACAGTACTTACTGCTAAATTCAAAGAGCTTTCAAAGCTTCTTCTTTGGATTTTAGATCGCTTATCCTTTGAATTTAGCTCAACTTTCGTTTCATCGCTGAAGAGAACATTTAGTAAAAAAAAAAAAAATCAGGTGAGTCACTTTTATCGAACAGCACGATATCGATATACATACATACATACACACACACACACACATATATATATATATATATATATATATATATATATATATATATATATATATATATATAAACATCCGGTAGCAAAGCTTCTGATCGGAAGGTTTTGAGAAACTACCATGTAATTGTTGTTGTTCCCCTGACCTGGGGTGGTAGCCCTGTTAGGGTCTCAGCTATGGACAAAATAGTTAACCCCAAATTGAGGTCAAAACACTAAGAAAGTATAAAAATGTATTTTTATAGCCAAAATACCAGCAATATATTTTTATTGTAAAAACAAATACCATCAATATATTTCTGTAAAAATTAATATATTAACTGCAATAAATTAAAAAAAATTTGAAGCAATACATTTTGTTAATAAATATATTGAAGCGATACATTTTTACAAAAAAAAAATATTACCAGCTATACAATATTGCAAAAGAAATAACTAATGCTCCCCCAAAAATTAAATTTTGGCTTATGAGAGAAAATGGTATGCCGATAAACCCCACCTCGCCAATATATATATATATATATATATATATATATATATATATATATATATTTATAGATAGATAGATAGATAGATAGATAGATAGATAGATAGATAGATCGATCAACTATGGATCAGAAACAAAGAGAAGACAGGATAAGCAAGAAATAGGGAACGTTTATAGAATTAACATGATTCGATTTTATTTAAGCTTCACCAGAAAATGAAATATGTGGGAGAAAAGAATATACGGAAAAGAAAAGCTCAGGCATTTTTATTTCTGTGTTGTTTGTTTATGATTGGTTAAGCAGGTATCACGTGTAATGGTATTTTCAAGCAGCGTTCGTGGATATAATTAATGTGTGTATGTATATCATAATTCTAATTTGTCTATGCGGGATTGAGATGATAATGTGTATTCGCTTGTGTGCATACGTGCGTTTGAGCATCTGGTTGGCATTTTCATCTATATTTGGTGGCAGTCCTTATGTTTTATTTGCTTTTATTTATTAGGTTGTTTACCGGTGCATTTTTCCCATTCTTTAAATCGATCCGATATGAACGAAGCAAAAACTTATAACAACGGGTCTGGAAAGGAAAAAAATATCTCAAACAACGAAAAAGAGAAAGAACTGAAAAAGAATTGAAATCCAATTGTGTTGAGAGCTGGTAAGATAAGGAAGGGAATTTTGGGAGTGATTTATTTACAGCCTTATTAATTTTTTCGTGTTTTAATATCGCTTCTTTTTCAAAAAACATAAAATGATGAAAAATATTTGGAAATTTAGGCGGGAAAAAACTAAAGTATTATCTATAATAAAGATTTAAGCGATCTAAATAAACACACGGACAGTCATATACACCCACACACACGTGTGTGTGTGTGTGTGCGCGCGCGCCCGCGTATGTATGACTGTGCGGGTGTTTATTTAGATCGTTTAGGGCTTGATTATTGGTAATCCATTTAGTTTTATCCACATATATATATATATATATATATATATATATATATATATATATATATATATATGTGTGTGTGTGTGTGTGTGTGTGTGTGTGTGTGTGTTTGTTACAATAAAATTGTTAAAAATTAAAATTTCAGACACACTGGGTTGTATTTTAATATTTATGTTTTATTCTTTAATTAAGTTCCTCGACTAGTTTCGGTCAGCATAGCCATCATCAGGAAAGAAAAAAAATCATGTTTGTTAGTAGCAGTGGTCTACAGGGATGAATGACAGTCTCTGAGGAAGTTGAACAAAACCTTTAGTTTTCACTTGCATTTTCGAACTTAATTTTTGGTTAGTTCTGGCATTTTTTCAAGTTGTCTTTTAAGGAGAGATCGGGAGAGCTATGAGTCTCAGATTTACGTCTTTAGTCATTTTGACATCTTTATTGATTGCTGGGAAGGGAATGTGCGTGCAATGTGTATGTTAGCTTTTACTTTTTGGGGAGTGTGTGTGATGTGTGTATGTGTATATATTTGTGGACGTGTGCGTGTGAGTGGGTGTATGGGAAACCCGATCACCTCTGTAAGCATGTCTGTCTACTGTGGTTGAGAGTGGGGTTAGGGGAGTCAGCTCGAGCCTTTCATGGGTGGTGTCATCTTCTATGTTCTAGCAGTAAGATATACTCAACTATATAGTATACATATAATGTGTAAGAGAAAATATGGGATATCTCTCTCTCTCTCTCTCTCTCTCTATATATATATATATATATATATATATATATATATATATATATATATATATATATATATATATATATATATATGGGGGTTGATGTGTGTTGTGTGATTCATAAAACAGGTACACATGGGGACAATTATAGTCACAAACCATACATGTGTAGTCGTGTAGTGAGTATACCGTATTTTTCGGCGCACCCACGTTGCTACGGAATGTGGCACAGGGTCAGTTTAAATTGGGTATAAAAGCAGTACTGAGGGAAAAAGCTGAAACCCTTTAATGTGATGTCAGCATATATGCAATGCGCCAACGTCACTAACGAGTGTGACACAATGTCGAGGTTTAAAGTGGCTTTAACGGCTATACCGTGCAAAAATTGCTCAAGCCCCTCGGCACTTCCCCTTATTGGGGATACATAATAATGATTTCCTTTCAGTAGCTTAGTTGCAGCGCAAGGCCGAAAGTATGTAACATCCAGTGGGGACTGAACTCACTATCCAGTCGTAATTGATCTAGCGAGACAAGCTTGCTAACCAATACACCACATCAAAGTGCTTAAATGATTATCTAAGCGTAGCTTTGGATATGGCACCAGGCCTAAAGTGAGGATCGAATTCACTTCTCAACCGTAATTGATCTAGAAAGACACGATTGTTAACCATTAAACCGCGCAGAAGTGACCAATTATAAACATAAATGTATTTTTCAGTGCGTCCACGTTACTATCGAATGTGAACGCAACGTCAAAATTTAAGGTGGGTTTAACGGCTATAACGTGGAATAATTGCTCAAGCCTCCTAATGTGCAGATTAAATATAGTCATATTCTCCTCTTATATAAATAATATACAGTAGAAATACCGATGAAAATTTCTCGGTCTTGCTATTTGGATTTTCCGATAAAGATTTTTCAGTTAATTATTGAATAATTACCTTGCTGCTTCCATTACTAAAACAGCTATGGAAACTCCCGGATTGCCTCGGATATATTTGCGCTCAACAACTTTAACTAATATTACAACATTTAGAAATATGACTGAAGTTCAGTATTTAAAGAATAAGAGGGTGCCATTAAATAGGTCACAATTAGTAGGGTTTTGAATTACGCTGAAGATGTTAAACACGTGTCAGTTTCATAGCCTCCTCTATCTGATATTTCTTTCTTTTTCTTTCTTTTTTGCTTACTTTCTTTCTATTCTCTTCCTTTCCTTGAAACTAAGCAAGTCTTTTCTTAGTCTAACGTAGCAATTATGCTGAAGATGTTAAACACAAGTCAGTTTCATAGCCTCCTCTATCTTCTAATATTTCTTTCTTTCTTTCTTTCATTCTTTCTTTCGTTCGTTCGTTCGTTCTTTCTTTCGTTCTTTCTTTCGTTCGTTCTTTCTTTCGTTCGTTCTTTCGTTCGTTCGTTCTTTCGTTCGTTCGTTCGTTCTTTCGTTCGTTCGTTCGTTCGTTCTTTCGTTCGTTCTTTCGTTCGTTCTTTCTTTCGTTCGTTCTTTCTTTCGTTCTTTCTTTCTTTCGTTCGTTCTTTCTTTCGTTCTTTCTTTCGTTCGTTCTTTCTTTCTTTCGTTCGTTCGTTCGTTCGTTCGTTCGTTCGTTCGTTCTTTCTTTCTTTCTTTCGTTCGTTCGTTCGTTCTTTCTTGCTTGCTTATTTTCTTTCTATTCTCCTTTCCTTGAAACCAAACAATTCTTTTCTTACGTCTAACGTAGTAATCAAACAGGAATACATATATATATATATATATATATATATATATATAGAGAGAAATAGTTCGGCCTATAGTTTACACAGGTTAATGCTTTTATTTTTTCAAATTTGTTTCTAATGTCTGTAAACATTAAACTGCTTTGTGAAACCTAGTAACTACAGATTCAGAGGTGTCAAAATTTAACTGACGTAAGGCGAGTTGAAGACATAATACAATACATAATATTTGAACATAATGGAATTCTTTGCAACTTTCGATAACATCTCATATATTTGAACGTGTATATATATATATATATATATATATATATATATATATATATATATATATAATATTTTTTTTAACATATTAATGTTATAATTTTCGAATAAATTATATTTGCTTTATTCTGTACTGAGCGCTCTTTTAAGAATATTATTTTGGTTATTGGAATTTATTCCGTATACACAATCCTAAATTTGGGAATATATAATATATATATATATATATATATATATATATATATATATATATATACAACAGCACAGAAATATATATATTGTTCTACGTGCATTAAGCCACACTACCGTGCATTTTGTTTGAAACACCTTTCTATGAACATAAACTGATCTGAGTTTATGACTCTCTGTGTATGTATGTGTCTCTGTTTGAATATATTCATACGTATTTGTATGCGTGTTTGTATATCTGTGTCAGTCTGCATATGTGTATATGTGGTGTGTCGTTGCGGTTTCAGTCATGACCATGTCAATTATGGGAAAATCTTTTGTCTGAATTGTTATTTTAATTATTTTGTTATTCCTTAGATTATGTTCCAGGTATTTTTTCTCAACTTTTTACACGTGTGTGTGTGTTTCTACGCGTGCGTGAGTGTCTATAAAGGAGAACTTCTGCCTATATGTAGCCAATATCGCATTTGCCACCGGCGTCGGTAAAAGCCTGTATTTTAAATGTTGATTTTTCAGGTAACATGGAAGGCACACAGACTCTCTTTTCTCGGGGAAGCTAGGTACAACGCTATTACGATGCCCTTATAAATATGCATATTCTGCACCCTAAGCTAAATAACAAATAATAATCGGGAAATCTTTGATGTCGAAACAGTCCTTTAAAAAATCTGTAATAGCTGATTTTAGCTGTGTGGGTAAGCGATCACTTATATCCCCAAGAAACGATTATAAAATATAGAACGATATAGACTATCAGTTGAGAATAAAGCCAGTGAAACATATTACAACTGGAAAAACAACGTCAAGAATCATGGTGAAATACAAGGTAACCAAAAAAGTTTTGTCCGTTTTTAAAGGAAAAAAAGAAAACGCTTCACAGTATGTGTAACTTATATTTAGTCTTCGAAGTAATCGCCATCGGCATCCAGCACCTTCTGCCAACGTGTCTCCATCTGTTCAATGCCCTTGCGGTAGAACTCGGGGGGGTTTGACGCAAAGTCCGTGGAGGCTTTGCACAAGTCTGCTTCATTGGTGAATGGTTTCCCCCGAAGATGATTATCCAGGGAGTGGAAGAGGTGGTAATCGGATGGCGCAAGCTCAGTTGAATAAGGTGGATAGCACAAAGTCTCCCACCCAAGTTGCTGTATGGTATCCCTGACCAATCGCGCGACATGCGGCCTGACGTTGTCATGGAGGAAAAGCACACCTTTGCGATTCACCAGTGCTGGCTCCTTCTGGCGCAATGCCTGTTGCACACATTTCAATTGCTGCGAGTATAGGTCTCCAGTGACCGTTTGGCCCGTTGGTAGCAGTTCATAATGAACCACTTGACGACCTGTCCAACAGAAACAAAGCATAATCTTGCGTGGGTGCACAGGCGGTCTTGTGGTGTGAGGGACAGCATCCTGGGGAGACAACCAATGTCTGGAACGCTTGAGAGTTTCGTACAGAACCCACTTTTCATCACTGGTAAGCACTCGATTGAATAAGGATGCGGTACGGTGGCGAGAAAGCAGCGATCCGCAGGCTGCCACTCGTTGTCACTTGGGAACCTCCAACAGCGTTTTCGGAACCCACTTGCTCAGTTTGTACATCTTACCTAGGTGGTACAGGTGAAGTCTAACTGTTTCATCGGAAACGTTGAACTGTCTTGCAAGTTCACCATATGTTAGACTACTGTCCTCCTCAATGGCCGCCTTCAGGATTCCGTCATTTAAGACCTATGGTCGTCCACTGCGAGGCTCATCATGGAGAGACAAATCTTCCGACTTGAATTTTCGAAACCAACGCCTTAGAGTACGTTCATCAACAGCACTATCCCCAAACGCTTGACATATGCGGCGACTTGATGCAGCTGCTGATAAGCCCACTTTGATGTCATAAAGCAAACAGCCCCGAACGAGATCTCTAGACACTTCCATCCTTCTCACAGCTGTCCGGCTTATAACTGATGGCCGGGCACGGTGCGTGTGTTTTTTTTATAACGTCTGATGTTCCTACTTCCGGCTGTCCTAATCTGAAAACAATTGCTACACGCATTTCGTATATATATCAACTTCATTCAATGACTAATCAAAAAACGGACAGAACTTTTTTGGTTACTTTTTACTAGCGTGGATTTATCTTCTCTTGTCTAACAGGGGCTTTTTAACCTAACTCCTAGGTGGCGCTCTTTAAAGCAGTATAAATGGAAATGGTATACATTCTCTCTCTCTCTCTCTCTCTTCTTTCTCATTTCAGTCAGTGCATGCCGTAGTGTCGTCACCTCTCTCGCTTCTCTTTCTTAGTCACCCAAAGAACGACATATCGCATTAATGATAAAAATACATACCTATTTGAGAAAAATAATATCAGGCGAAAACAATTGAATTAAATACATTCGTATAGAAAGAACTTAAGTTGAAAAGCGAACTTGTGTCAAAGAGGTACATTGCATGATTACTATATATATATCTATATATATATATATATATATATATATATATATATATATATATATATGTCGAGCATCTGCAACCAAAGCTAGATTGTCTCAGACCAAATTACTTTACTAAAATCTGCCCTGACGACCAGTACGGTGCTATTTGTTGCTATGTTCTATTAGCTGACCCCACAGTTTCATCGTTCCATCTTCGGAGTTTGGCCTTTTCCTCCTATTTTTGCTTCTCAATAGTCATCAATCAAGCAATCTTTTACTCCGTATGTTATACTTTCCTCTTGAGCCCACCCCTATTTTTGTTCATTGCTGTACTATTTCTTATCGTGCTCTCTCCCTTGATCTGCGATGACTTCATTCTAGCTCTCAGAGACCTCTTCGGCATGATCTTATTCCACAAATCTGTATGATTTTTTGAGTTCAAACCCTTCAATACAGGAAGATGTTAATGAAACAGCTTGTGATGGTCGAAACTATAACTCTTAACATATGTATCTGTAAGACAAGCATGACATTACAGCATCGTGGTAAGCGACCAATAATTTAGTCAGGGTAGCCTGAATATTAATTGAACATTTTCTTTTTATCGTTTCATGTTGCAGTTTTTTGTGTATATGTATGTACTAGTGAGCTAGCCAAAATGAGCTGACTCATTCTATAGTCCACCAAGAGAAGGGTTAACCAATCAGAAAGCTCAAAATATTCAATGCGACGTGTATAAAAGGCAGCCATTTTGTTTTTTCTCCCAAATTATCCTCACTGCCAACCTGATATCGAAGACTTAAAGAATTACTTAACAGCCGCTACTTTGTCTGAATCTTCATTGCCAAACTCTGATATTGAACACATTGCGGACTTCACTGGATTCCATATTCAGAGCACTTGCCATGATAACATCTGTAGAAACGGCAGAGTCATCAAGAGAACGATGAATAAGTTTAAAAAAGAGGGGAAGAGTAGAGAGGAAAACTGGATCAGGAAATCACAAGAGGAAGAGGGATCATCATTTCAACTTAGAGCTATAGAGATCAATTAGAAGAGATCCAACTCAATTCATTAGAAATTTCGTACGTGAGAGAGGAGTTTCAATTATAACATTCCAAAGAGCAGTAAAAAAGACTTGAAGATGAAATCTCTGAAGCACCCCGTTACACCAGGACAGAAAGTTAGAAAGTTAAAGAGGGCGAAGATCATCTTAAATATGTCATGTCGGTGAGAAAGAGACTGAAGTCGAGATGCCTGGTCAGGATCGACTGTATTACAGATACTTCTTTGAATTTTGTCAAGAATCTCGATATGTACAGCAGAAGTATCAGAACAAGTATGGCAACAGTATTCAATGTCCGGAAGAATAGTAGATTTGTAAATCTGTAAGATGTATTTTGACAAAAAACAAATCTGACACGACAGAGTTACCTAACTTTCCTTGCAATTGGAACAGCTATTTATTGGCTGTAGTCGTACGACTTCAAGACAGTGATGAGAAGAAGGTATAGTGTTCTGGAGTTTAGCGTCAGCCATGCTGATGGAAGGCAGAAAGGTTTCTCTGTACTGGTTAAATGAAAGTAGTTTTGTATTGGGGCCGTCAACATTTATAAGCCATTTCCTAACCACTGACTGAATGTAACCCCATAGGCGATTTGATCAGCACAATACCTTCCTAAAAAAAGATATTATGGAAGACATATTAAGTTACGAAGATTACAAAACTTTTGCGGAAGGAAAAAAATAAGAATAACGCTGGCTTAGGCGACATACTTAGTAACAATTACGTCAGGGAAGAAAGATAATATAGGGAGATGTATGTGTGTATGTGTGTGTGTGTGTGTGTGTGTGTGTGTGTGTGCGGTCGAAGATTTATAGGTCCGACCGTGAGACACTTCAAGTAAACACAATATTTGAAATTTGGTCTTTTGTGCTTATTTTGTGAAATTGGTAGAGCCGCGGACTTCAAAGCATCCATTCATTGTTATTTTTCGTTTTATTAGGTAGGTGCAAAAATAATGACGAAATAATGTCGTTTTTTGACGTTAAAAAAACATCAAAACGACATTATTACGTCATTATTTTTGCACCAACCTAATACTTAACCGATTTACTTTCAAGAGAGCGTATGTATCTATTCAGTTATGATAGATACTGTCCAAGTTTCAACCAGACTTTTAATAATCTTCACGCTTCAGATCTCGTTTTGTTTCCAACGAGAAATCTGTGAAGGAAAAGAGCACTATATATACACATACGCCCACACATATTTTTTACTTAATTATTCTCTTACGAAATACTTTTTCCAGGAAGCGTTGAATATACACAAATATAATCATTCTGATGTAGGTTTCCATTACGAGCGCTGTTTCACGCTAGATTGTTTTTAAAAATGGGTGCCTATTTATTGCTTTTTTTTCATGTTTAAGAGAATGACTGCAATCAACTTGCCGACTGTTCGAAATAATTTAATATTCTTTGTTTATTTAAATTAATAAATGAAAAGAATTATATTATTTTCAACTCTCGTTACGCTGACATATTCCTTTTGCAAAACGAGAAAAGAAGAATATATTTCGAGAGCGTTGAAAAAAATGGCTCATTTCGAAAAATTACGCATCGCGCGACAGTGTCGTTAATGGGTAATTTAATCAAATATGTTATTTGTATCTACACGCACACACACACACACATATATATATATATATATATATATATATATATATATATATATATATATATATATATATATATATATATATATAGAGAGAGAGAGAGATAGATAGATATACACCGCGTGTAAAAACAAAATTACCCAAATCGTGTAAAAGCAAAATTGTACAATTGTTAGATTAAGAACTAAACCTCTGTATCTTAGAAATGATTAAAGGTATCTTACTGCAATTCTTTGAGGTTTTCATAACCCTATTGGACTCTACTTTGAACAATAAGAATGTATAATTACTCTCCCAGCTTAACAGAAGAATCGTGATGAAATCGATCATAAGCGAAAATGATCATTTATAAAACATTGCTAAGGATCGGAAGCTCAGGAAGGATTGAAATAAAGTTCAAAGATAAAGATATGATTCTCGGATCATTTTCAAACTTATTCAAAATGATCTTCGCTCTCTTTAA